GCGCTGGGTTGATCGGACCTCTAGGTGGCTGGCTCGGGTTCGTCCCATGGGATCCCTCCGTTCTCGGGGAACGACAAATAGCAGCTCTATGACCCGGCTTCCCACACCGAAAGCAAACTATTGGTGATCATCCACAAGTGGTCTTAGGATGATCCTTGCCACATCTCGGGCATACCGTAGCCCCCTCTCATGGTGGTCCTCCAGCTCCAACTCCCTGTCTCATAGTCATGCTTCTACTTTCTCCACCTCTATGGTCAAGTCTACTCATCGGATTGAACCTATGTCCTTTGCTCGTTTGTGATTCCATTCCATCATTCTTTTTCTTCATCCCTAGGTTCCTACCTATAGATGGGTTCCTATATGACTGTACTTCTATATATATATATATATATATATATATATATATATATATATATATATATATATATGTATATGTATATGTATATGTATATATACATACATATATATATATATATATATATATATATATATATATGTATATATACATATACATATACATATACATATATATATATATATATATATATATATATATATATATATATGTATATGTATATGTATATATACATATACATATACATATACATATATATATATATACATATATATATACATATATATATATATATATATATATATATATATATATATATATATATATAAATATAATTAGGTTCAAATGTGGTTGGTGCGCCCAGGTGCGGTTGTGCGGTCAAATCTGAGTCATTGGTCTTGTTTAAATCAACATCCAGGATTACCAAAATTTTTAAAAAATGCGGTGGCAATTTTGTAATTTTTGCATCTAGGTCAAATGTAAGGTGCGTGATTTTCCTTCTTAAGGTTCGCGGGTTTTGTGCTTAAGGTGCGTGGGTTTTGTGCTTAAGGTGCGTGGGTTGTGTGCTTAATGTGAATATTTGTTGAAACTTAAGGTGCATGGTTTTCCTTCTTAAGGTGCGTGGTTTTTGTGCTTAAGGTGCGTGGGTTTGTGCTTAAGATGCGTGGGTTGTGTGCTTAATATGAGTATTTGTTGAAGCTTAAGGTGCGTGGTTTTCCTTCTTAAGGTGCGTGGTTTTTGTGCTTAAGGTGCGTGTGTTTTGTGCTTAATGTGAGTAGTTGTGAAACTTAAGTGCATGATTTTCTTTCTTAAGGTGAGTTGTTTTCCTTCTTAAGGTGCGTGATTTGTATGCTTAAGGTGCGTTAGTTGTGTGAAACTTATGGTGAGCCATTTTAAAACCTTAGGTGCATGGTTTGTATTCTTAAGGTGCTTTGTTGTGTGCTTAAGGTGCGTGGTTTGTGTAATTAAGGTGAGAACGATGGGCCGAAGAGAGAAATAAGAACCACTTACAACCTTCCATGAGTCCAGATCAACGAATCAGATGTAATTTAAAAAAAAAAAACGACGCGGTAGTATTTTCATAAATAACTCGAACTTTGGTGCAAATAAATGTGTTACAAGTGCATGTAGTTGGTGCACCTTTGCAAGTAAAAAGTGCAAGTAAAATTACTTACAAGTACACATATGTTCACTTACAAGTGCAAGTAATTTACCTTATTAACATTCGTGCATCTAGATGCACTTAATGATAACGTTAGGTGCACTTAGTATTGATGCTCAGTGTACATTTTACTTGCACTTAGGTACACTATATGAAACTACTACTTGCACTTGTAGTACATTTTACTTACACTTGTAATACATTTTAATTGCACTTCGATGTTCAATTATTTACGAAAATGCCACCTCATTTTTAAAAAAAAATCGGTGTTTTTGATTCGTTAAATCTGGACACATGGACGGATGTCATGCGTTCTGATTTCTCTCTTGGGCACTAGTTCGCATTCATGCGTGCCCATATATATATATATATATATATATATATATATATATATATATATATATATATATATATATATATATATATATATATATATGGGTTCTTATGCGGTTGGGGGTGCCATGTGTGGTTGTGCAGTGAAATGAGAACCATTGATTTTGCTTAAATCAACGTTTAGATTACCAAAATTAAATAAAAAACGCAGTGGCATTTTGGTTTTTTTTTTTTTTAATATTTAGGTCAAATGTAAGGTGCATGAATTTTGTGAGTAAGGTGCGTGAGTTTGTGCTTAAAGTGCATGAATTTGTGCTTAAAGTGCGTGAGATTTGTACTTAAGGTGCGTGGGGTTGTGTACTTAATGGTAGTAGTTGTTGAAACTTAAGGTGCGTGAGTTTTATGCTTAAGGTGCGAGGGTTTTGTGCTTAAGGTGCGTGAGTTTTGTGCTTAAGGGCCATGAGTTTTGTGCTTAAGGTGCGTGTGTTTGTGCATAATGTGAGTAGTTGCGGAAACTTAGGTGCGTGAGGTTCCTTCTTATTGTCTGTTGTTTTCATCTTAAGGTGTGTGATTTGTATGTTTAAGGTGCGTCAGTTATGTGAAACTTAAAGTGAACCATTTTTAAAATCTTATGTGCATGATTTGTGTTCTTAAGGTACTTTGTTATGTGCTTAAGGTGCGTGTTTGGTGTTCTTAAGGTGTGTGATTTGTGTTCTTAAGGTGTTTTGTTTGTGTTCTTAATGTGCATGTGTTGTGTACTTAAAGTGCGTCAGTTTAATGCTTAATGTGCATCCAACCGCACAACCGCAAGGAAAGTTATTCCCGCACCTGATCCCTTCCATATATATATATATATATATATATATATATATATATATATATATACCCCATATAGAAAACTGTTCAGGTGTGAATTCTTATTATCATGCACATTTGTGCACTATCACCAGCCATGCTTGTGGGGTTGATCAGTGGTAAGAAATAGGAGTGCATGCTAGTCCAGTGCACTGTGATTACCCTATCAATTACACTATAGGGCACTGAGGGGCAGGTGGGTAATTTTATAGGGGCGCGGTTCGGGGGTTTTGTATTGCGTTTTACTATTTGCTGTGTTAGCCGGCTTCCCAGCTCGACAAGTCAATTGTGTTGTCGCCATGCATTCTCCGGTGAAGCGTGCGTGATGACTCAATCAAGTGGCGGGCGTCGGGAGAGGAGGGGTAGGTTGAGGCAGCCATTGTCGCCTACGACTCTGCCGTCGTATGGGCTGCACAGAGTGGCTGCGGGGTCATGATCACACGGACGTCGTCCCGGCCCCCGGTCGGATGTGGCAGGTTAGTAGCTGATTACATAAGTTCTGTATTTAATTATTGCATGCACAAAGAAAATTGAATGCAGAGTGTTTGTGCTTGTGCCCCCGGTCGGATGTGGCAGGTATGGTTAATGCTTGTAGACACTCTGAAATGAATGATGTTGGATGCACAAAATCTGTTTGTGAAAATGCCTCAATGGCAAAAATAGCAAGTCAGCATAAAGAAACAACCAACACCATGCTCAAGGATAAAATCAAGCAAACTGAACAATTTAAAGTTCAATTTCTTTTTTTTTTTTTTTTTTTAAATTATTATTTATAAAGTTTAAAAAATAAAATAAAATGAAGAAGCTTAATATATAAGTGTTAAAAATGACACAGAAACGCCCTAGCAGTGTGGAACTAACCCAGTATTAATTGGTGTGGGAAATTTTTGGCAATAGAACAAATGAGTTTGGTGTATGCATTGTACTGTCGTCTGTTTTTATTGTAGTAATTTATATCAATTAAGATGCACCATATGTACCTGTGTCAAAAAAATCTCATTTGAAAATTTTGAATAATCCTTTTAATTAGTTTATTCTAATCTATTTAATTAACTTTTCATTTCCCAGAGAGTTTATTATTAAATTAAATTAGCTAATTAAAATTTTCATAACCTTTTGTCCTAGAAGACAAAATCTGCACGACAGCACCTAATATATATACTACAGTAGTTATTAACGTCGGTAACGTCGAAGCATATGCTACTGGATCTCTAGTATTCTAATGAATTCGGTTTGGCAGTTGCTATCTGTCTTATCCACTTGAAGAATGTACTATGCTCAGATCAACTGCAGATTCTTGCAACTATAACTGCACTTTGTTCAGCTGACTATATATATATATATATATATATATATATATATATATATGCATTCATCAGAAAAATAATCAAGGAACTGCATTTTATCAATGGTGATTTGTAGGCAATAATACTTCAAAATAATCTTATTGATATACTTCAATGGTGTTTTTGTGCCAAGGATCTATGTGTATTATGTGTCTTTTTTGGTTGCATATATAGGATTAAAGAGATTATGCTTGTTATTAAAATCACTCTAGCAGTAGTTTTGATACCTTACCTTATTAAAGAGATTATGTTAGTTAAAATAACACTAAATTTGACCCAACATTGTATTGGAGTGTGCTTTTTGGATCAATCAGCATAGATATTGCTCAATTTTGCAGTCTGCCTACTTAGAGAAACAAATTCGGAGATAAAAACATTTAGGTGCCTGTTTGCCTTGAAAAGATGAGATCTTGATGCTGTTCAGACTGGCTGGGCTGGAATTTGTGCGTTTTAGGTTAGAATTAGAATCAGTTGCAAGTTATATTGGTTATGGTTGGTAATTTAGGGGTGAGTTGCATCTGTGGGCTTAATCTACTACTTAATGCACTAGTGCTACGTATTTTGGGAACTCCATTTAAGTGGGGGTGGATTAAACCGAAATAATGAAGCTGAATGCACTGTATTTTTTTGAATCAATTGCCTTATGTGATCTTTGCAAATGCACCATCCAAACGCGGTGTTGGGTGCTTTACTGGTGTGCATTTGGAATTTTAATACACACAAGACATTATGTGAGTTTAAATGGTAGGAAATAGTTTTGGATGCTTAATGAAAATGGATTAAATTCTATCTGGTGGTTACAACTGTACTGTTTCTACTGTATTGGCATTTAAATCCATTCCATCCGCATTTGCAGGCGTAACTAATGATCTGTTTCCTTTTTAATTCTGGAATGTGTGCTTAGTTCATTATTTGGATGTTTTCTTGTTTGGTGTAGTGGTGGGTGCGTTGCAAGTTTATGTAGTGGTGCGTTACCGGGTGTGCATTCGTGGGATGCACCTCACCTTAAACAACCTAAACTCACACTCACTGCATGCACGAGGTAATTAATTGAACCGCTAGGTGGTCCCAGAACACTCTGAGGAAATTCCCAGGCCCACTACTGTTCTTGGTTGTAAGTTACACGTTCGGTAGGACTCATGGGTAAATGTGTTTTTTATTAAATGTTTATAACGTGTGCAAACGTTTTGGTGCAGCTCTTATATGTTGACAGGGTCGTTGTTGGCGCAAGGGATGTCCCACGGACCACCCCGGTGTCACATGGGTGGACTTCCAAGGGGTTGGAAGCACGGGAGGAACGGGAGGTTGCAGCGGGGGGATTTGGGAACGGGCAGGTGGATGCACCGTTGCAGGAATCATCACCGCGTGCACGACGTCAAACCCCAAGGAGGACACCACTGGCCAGCCCACCACACAGTGCCCCACTCCAGGTGCATTCACAAACCCAACATAACTCAATGGCAAACACCCTCTTAATCATGTTATGGCAGTATTAGGCAACACAAATGGGATTATAATGTTTATTTCAAACCAATGTTTATTTCAAACCAATGGGGTGTTTAGCCACCACTTAATGAAGTCATACTAATAGGAATGTAATGCGCTCGCAGGATGGACCACAGAATCGTGCACCACCCCCGCCTGACACAAGTCCAAGCCTGGTGCAGCATGATTTTGATCCGGGTGCATCGACCTCCCGGCCTCAGTCCTCTAGCCTGTGGGGGGCACTGAAGATGCCCGAGACGAGTCGGGGGTGCACCAGGTGCACTGTGACCGTACTCCGGGTGTAACAATGGTATGCATAATCAACTCCTCCGTTATTACTACCAGAGCACTGATGGGGTTGGCATGGGGTTGGGTTGTTTTAACTTGGGGTGACCTGTTTCCTGTAGGGGTTTGCCTAGGAGTTCGCCACCATGGCAAGAGACCTTCGTTCTTTAGCTATGAGGGTTGCAGAGGAGGTACGCAGGAACCCTAGCGAGGCTCATGAACATCACGACTTCCAACAGATCATCGATGTAGCGAGTATATTGGCACCCCTAATCACGGAGCACACAAAGGAAGCACCTCACCATACGTCGGGAGTAACGCGTGCACCACTTCTACCTCCACGACAGCTTGACGATGCGGTGTGGCAGAGCACGCAGTGTTTGAGATAGTTGGACCGGATAGAGGAGGAAGCCATGCGGGTAGAACATTGCCAACTCCGCAGGTTCGGTATTGCTAAAATGTTTTGAAAAGCATTTCGGAAAGGACACGACCTTGTCTACCTTTTTTACTGTGCTCTTGCTGTTTTATCTAGCAATATTCTTGTGATTATTATGTTTATATTGTACATGTTACTGGTTTGATTAATAGGACATGAATGGTGTTTTCGATTATAAGTGTCATATATCCAACTTTTAAATGTTTGTGCTTGCTTGGGTATTCTTTAAATAGTTTCGAAATGAAAATAGAGCCATATAGGTCCTGTCACAAACATATAGGTCTTATGCGATGCACCAGTAAGGTATGGGACCAAGGTATGGGACCATCTAAGTTTTTGACTTAATTTTTATTACTAAGCACTGTGTTAGGTAGTAGGAATCAGACTGAGCCCAAACAAGGAACTTGAATAATGCATATTATGCATTAAAATATGTTCTCTAAAGGGGGGGGGGGTGTGTTGCTAATGTGTGGACTTAATATTTGGTGCAGATACCGCAGGAGGAAGGCACCAGCCCGTCAATGATAGAGTAGGAGGCACCGAGTTTTAGCCTAGGATTGACGCAAGAACTAGCACCGCAAACGGTGGTGGATACCACAGCTGCAACGGCTAGTGTAATCCTTGCACCTCAACGGTGCACACCCCAGTTGAGTTGTGTGTAAGGTCACAACCTTGTCCTCCTCCTTACTTTGCAATTGCTGTTTTATCTGGGGATGTTCCTGTGATTATAATGTACGGAGTATTGATTTGATTGAAAGACCAAGAATGGTGTTTTGTATTCTAATTGCTCAACACCCTTTCTCCAAAAGATCACAAAAATAGATTGGTTTACACTAATAACTTATTTTACGAGTCTAGTTTAAAAAACAAAACATTTCTTATGTCCTTCAAAACAGATCCTTGTTTTGCATTCGACCCTATAAGATACCCGTCTTCTTCGTTGCTTCTTCTTATCACCACTAACACCGTGTGCATAGATGGGCTTGCTAATACCACCACCCTTAATGCCTTCCCGGTTACATACCAACTAACGCATCACGGTCTCCCCAGCATGGTCCCGTTTCACGGTGTAGAGCCGGACATCAAACCCGCAGACCCGTGCGTAGTTTATATAAAAGTCAATGCCTCCGTCCAATGTGCTAAAACGCCGCCACAACAGGGGTGATTTCACTGCCCACTTTCGGACACCAATATGTGGGTCGCGCTGCTAGTAATTCTGGTATACCATGTAAGACATACTCACTACCCACCTCGCCCCCATGGGCACCTGTGGAGGAAAACACAAGCATATTACGAAACAGGAAAAAAAAAAAACATTGAAGAGAACTTACCAGTCTAATGTGTCTATCACCAACAACCAACTTATAGTCTAATGTGTCTATCACCAACAACCAACTTATATGTGTCTATCACCAACAACCAACTTATAATAATATCAGTGCAAACATAATATATCATTCAATATGATTGTCGGGATATAATCATGTAACAATGGTGTGATATGCAATAGTAACATGGTCTTGATTCTTGATTAAGAATGCCAAACAATTGGCACCAATATTTTCACAACAATTAAAACAAAAGTAATGGTCTGAGGGGAAAAAAAGAGCCAACAACTTTTTAAGTTTTCTCCCAAAGTAAGGTATCAAATCTACTGCTGGAGTGATTTTAATAACAAGCATAATCTCTTTAATCCTATATATATATGCAACCAATAAAGACACATAATACAAATAGATCCTTTGGCACAAAAACATCTACCCACTCAAATGTCCATGGTTCTCTTTTCTCACTCAGTTTGTTGCAATAGATATATTATGTACTCCTATATTTATATATTATATGATGATTATGCTCAACATCTTTAAATATCAATAAGATTATTTTGAAGTATTATTGCCTACAGATCATCATTGATAAAATGCAGCTCCTTGATTATTTTACTGATGAATGCATATATATATATATATATATATATATATATATATATATATATATATATATATATATTGTCAGATCAGCTGAACAAAGTGCAGTTATAGTTGCAAGAATTTGCAGTTAATCTGAGCATAGTATGTTCTTCAAGTGGATACAAATACTAGTTCTGTAAACATATTCATATTCCACACATCAACATTCAACACCAAAAGTCCAACTGTTATAATGAACACATATGAATATATTCTCTAGTAATCAACTCCTCAAATTGCACTAGTAATCAACAACATATATACAAATCTGTGTGGCAAAAATTTCAGCACACTGCCAACAACTTCAAGCCCGAGCTCGTGTTGCAAATCAAATTCCAACTAGCAGAGATTGAAAAAAGGCTTGATTCAAGCCCAAGCTCGTGTGCACCGAGAGCAGAGTCCACGAAAGGTGCAAGGGCCGAAACTGGATGAGGTCGAAAGTTGAGACCGAACCCTGTACGCTAACGGTCTGGAACCCGAAAGTTCTGACTGTTGAGGGGATTGAATTCATCTGTTACGGAATTAATTATCTATTAATTCCAATTTTTGAATTCTGAATTCAATTCTCAGGTAGTGGCCTGCTGTTATAGCTGTTGGAAGGCAGCTTTAATGTCATTTTAATTGCCATAATAAAAGCTATTAAATCCTTCACCCCTATAAAAGGAGGAGTTGGGCAGTAGAGTTTTACACACAGAAACATAGAACACGAAAGTTTGTTTTTTCAGCTTCAAAACCTCTCTGCTTCTACTCTTTCTTGGCCTACTGTGTTCATAGCCATTGTCTTGCTCGCCGGATTCCTTGTTTGAGTGCTCAAACATTGAATCATTAGCAAGTTTTATCCTGGGAAGCCTAGGCCACAACGCTCCTAGCATCTTTGGGAGGTGGCAAATAAGGTTTTAAGGAAAGAGTGCTCACTTGACTCTTGCAAAAACCCAACACCAAACACTAGCCAAATTTCTTCATCTTTTCTTCCCTTATTTCCAAAAAATAATAATCTTATTTTTTGATTATTATTTGTGTTTTCTACCAACGGTACCAACATTCTCTCGGGGGACCCCGGTGCATATTTTCATTGGAAAATTGGTGCAGATAACAAGTACTACAAGTGTAGGCTCACCTGATAAAATTTTAAAGCCAACGGAGCCCGAATTGGATTGTGGCAATCGCATATGTAAATTATGTACTGCAAAATCTAGTACCATTTTAAAGTGCAAGGGATATCTTGTCAAAAAAAAACAGGGAAAAATAACAAAATATAGCACGCATTAAACACCTTAAAGTTGTGTTTTGCCTAAAATGCGAACCTACCAATGCAACCCACCAATGTATTATCTTCTAACTAGCTATTAGGGAGCCCAAAGTTGATGCATATATGTCACAGACAGCGAAACAAATAGGAGGTTCTGATTACTGCGTAAAAAACTAAACACATGGTTCATATGCCGGAAAGGAATGAATACAGTGTTCTGTAATGTAAGCTCATACTGCAGTTAAAACTACGCCTACTATTTAGACTGTTAAACTGATCATACTGCAGTTATACAACCACGGACGCCGCCGTTTCACAGAGGGAGGGCGACACAGAAAGTGGAGGACAGCGCCCTAACCTGACAACGCCGGAGTCACCGTGTCGCTCATCGCAAATATGCCTAGTAATATGGTCGCTGCAAAACACACGAAGGCACCCCCGGGACTGATCAACAATGGAACGTGCACTGTGATGGGAACTCAACAATGGAGGTGTGATCACCGGACTTACGAACACCACTCCACTCGCCGATTCGCTAGTAGGAAATCTTCGCCGGTGTTTCCGTCACCTTCCGAAAATCTCAAACTTCCGCCGTGAAACATGCACGTGAAGGCGTAGGGAGTTGTAATTCAAAATTAGAAAATATGAATTTACGCAATTGCACTACACCACTGTGTTCCGCAGGTCCAGCAAAAAAAGTGCACTGTAATTGTGAGCCATCGGATCGCCAAAATCAATGCAGCATGATAGTGCACAAGTTCACATTGTAAGTGTGGTGTGCACCAGAAAAGCACCCACCTAAATCAACGTTCAAGATTGACAATGATTAAAAAAAATGCGATGGCAATTACGTCTTTTTGCATCTATGTTAAATTTAAGGTGCGTGGTTTTTTTGTTTAAGGCACGTAATTTTTGCATTGTGTGGCTTAAGGTGCGTCTGTGGTTGAAAATTTAAGTACGTCGATCTAAAGCTTTAGGTGCATGGTTTTCCTTCTTAAGGTGCGTGGTTTGTGTGCATAAGGTGCGTCAGTTGTTGAAACTTAAGGTGCGTTGGCCTAAAGCTTTAGGTGCGTGGTTTTTCTTCCTTAAGACTTAAGTGCACAAACCACGCACCTTAAGTACACAAACCACGCACCTAAGGTTTTAAAATGACGCACATTAACTTTCAACAACTCACGCACCTTAAGCATACAAATCACATACCTTAAGAATGAAAACCACGCACCTTAAGAAGTAAAACCTCGCACCTTAACAACTGCACAACCGCACCTGAGAAGGCCAACTACACGGGAACCCATTTATATATATATATATATATATATATATATATATATATATATATATATATATATATATATATATATAAAGGATCAATGAAAAAGAAACCTTAGATGAAAAATATGATGTAGTCTCATACATTGATTCCGAGAAAGCATTTCAGCCTGCCCAAATCCTTGGTCTGGAACTAACTGAAGAGATACTCTTTCAACTAAGATATGCCCTCTTGATCACTCCTTGTAATAACAATGTCATCCACATATACTATAAGGTATATGATTTCCCATTAGAATGAAGATAGAAAACAGAATGATCAACTGCACTTCTAGTCATACCAAACTCACACCAAAGAACTAAATCTTCCAAACAAAGCCCGTGGAGACTGCTTCAAATCGTATAAAGAACAATGAAGTTTACATACCAGACCAGGCTCCCCCAGATCAACAAACCCAGGTGGTGCTCCATATAAACCTCTTCGTGAAGTTCACCATGAAGAAAGGCATTCTTGATATCCAGCTGGTGTAAGTCCCAATGATGAATGGCTGCCAAAGACAAAAGCAATCGAACTGAATCATTTTAGCAACAGGGAAAAACGTATCACTGTAATCCAAACAAAAAATCTGAGTATAGCCTTTTGCCACCAGTCGTGCTTTAAGGAGATCAATCGCGCCATCAGGGCCCACCTTCACCGTA